TGCCTCCTGGATTCAGGCAATTCTCCTGCCTCAGCCTCCTGAGTAGCTGGGATTACAGGCACGCGCCACCATGCCCAGCTAATTTTTTGTATTTTTAGTAGAGTTGGGGTTTTACCATGTTGACCAGGATAGTCTCCATCTCTTGACCTTGTGATCCACCCACCTCCACCTCCCAAAGTGCTGGGATTATAGGCATGAGCCACCGCGCCCGGCCGAGATAATTTATTTTACGTTTGTGGCCAGGTCTCACCGCCTCTGATCTTGGGACCATTTTGAGGATAATGAAGTGAAGTCTTGCATTTAGGGGGGCTGTGGGGTTCCCGTGCCTGGGTGCCTCTGGGTTCCCTGCATTCATTCATGTACACATCCCTCAGATGGTTCTGAACTGTGGATCAAAGAGGTAGTGATGACAGGGATGCTGCCTCTGCCTTCTAGAAGCTCCCAGTTGGAAGTGACATGGGGCTTCACAGGGTGGGCAGTGTCTGAGCCTGTGAACATTCAGGGTTTACCAGGTGGAAAGAGGAAAGGGTGGGTGGGCCCTGGTGGGAGGAGGAGGGGCAGAGTGGCCCCTGGGAGTGTGGGGAGCAGGGATTGGGTGTCATCGGCTCAGTTCGTTTGTTTCCTGTGTGAGTCTATATGTCTTCTGCCTGGTGTGTGGGATCTGAAGGACGAGGCTCCTGTTGCCCTAGGGGGAGGTGCAGAGGTGGCTGGTACCCAGGTGGGTGCATGACTGATCCAGGATGCAGGATGAGATCCCATGGGCTCCGCCGAAGCCTCTTTGAATGGACACTGAGGAATAAGGAGAGAAAGCGCCATTTGAAGCTGCTGTCCTCTGTGAAGCTCTGTGTGGACACCAGAGGGGGATAGGAAGTAGGAGGAGATGCATTTAAGAAGCAGGGGCCGTGGCCCTGTCCCCAGAAGCCTGTGGGCCCCCCATGGAGAAACCAGACACCCCAGCTGCGATGCTGATATGGGCATTGCCTGCTGCCTGCGGTGATCCAGGAAAACGTTAGGGAAGGATTGTGGTTTCTGCAGGCCCTGGTAACACTGCTGTTTATAGCCCTGTGCCCTCGATGCCCAGTCAGTCCCACAGAAAGCCACTGCACACTCAGATCAGGGGGCTGGGGATGGGTCACCAAAGTGTGATTGCAAAGTGTGGCAGGGTATGGGCAAGCCCCCTTGGGATGATGCAGGGAGCCACAGTCCCTGGACACCAGTATGGTCTGGGAGCTGGGGCCTGGGCTTGGACAGGTGAGGTTTGAACCCTTGTCCTGCCCCTTCTCGGTTGAGTATCCTGTGCTGATCCGAACCCCAGTGTCCTCATCTTAAACGCAGGCAAAGACACTTCTCTTTGGAGGACTGGGTAGACCAATAATGAGTCTCCAGTGCTTAGATGGCCCCTGGTGCACAGTAGGCATTCTGTAAATGGTAGTTGCTGCTGTTAGTATTATGGTTCTTGCTCTGGTGATGATTCTTAACTGAAGAACTGTTTTCTGAAGGCAGCACATATGTTCCCAATAAATACTTCAGAAAGCAAATGAAGAAGCTGAGTCTCCATAATAAGTCAGCAGTTCACCCATGATGTACATGGAGGAACCGCACTCTAGCCTGAGGAACAGCATGGGCAAAGGTCCTGGGGTCTGAGAATGGCTGGAGAGGCTAAGCTGAGCGGGCAGCACTGGCAAATGAGGCTGGTTTTGCAGGGCCAGGGAGGCAAGGGGCTCCCTTCCCTCCTTGGCCCTGGCATAAGCTCACATCTGAGGCTGAGTCTAGTGGCCCTTCCTAGGGTCTGTGTTCTCCTGCTGGTCATGGCTACACGTGGACACTGGTGACTCAGCCAGGCCCTGCATGCATGGCTTGCTTGGAGCCCCACCCCCACCCCCACCTTCAGCATCTGGCTTCTTCTCCTCCTAGGAGGGCAGAGCGGGGAGGGAGCCAGAGGGGCTCTGTCTTGAGAAACTGCCCTTGGCTCTTCCCCGTGAATAGTCCTGGCTGACCCTGTTGGCAGAGGGCGTGGATTTCTGCTTTGTGTTGTGGGGGATTGTGAAGCCTGAAACCCTGGCATCAGACAGCCGGCCTCTGGGCAGAGCAGGGCTTCATCCGCTGTCTGACTTTCCGTCTCGTTTTCAGCAGTGGTATTTGAGAGCAGGTTTGGGTTTGGTGTGGGCTTGGGCAGTGGACACTGCTTTGCATCTTCTGTTATCCCTGCAATTCTAGAAATGGAAGGACGTCCAGGAGAAGCCCTGTGCAGGGCTGGGCATGTGGTCCTTATGTGGTGTGAAGGTGGCCAGGGTGGGGAAGTTCCTGTCCCCACTGAGTGCTGCAGTCCCACCATCAGGCATTTACCCCTTTGCTGTACCTTACCTCTGGGTTTGTGCAGAGGCCCCTGTTGTCCTTCATCCTCCTGTGATCTCTCCCCAGTGGCTCCTGGATCTAGACAGCCTTTGGGCACCGGAGTACCTGTGACTGGGGAAGCTCACTCAGGAGAGAAGAGGATCAGAGAGAGAAGCAAAATTTGCCAACCACACACTTTGCTGACTCCATGAGTTGCTGAGGCTCATTGTAAGCAGGATCTTTGTCCTGTTGCGGGTCCCCAGACTGTGAGATCTCCACACTGGAGTCACGCCCCTCCACGCTATGTTGGTGGAAAAGCAACAGGTGCCTTCACTTAGGGGACAGACAGGTGTGGGCTCACATCTAGGTATAGGAGCAGTGGCCGCCCTTGCCTTGTCTGTCTGTGAAAAGGGGGTGACAGGCTCCCCTCAGCAAGCTCTGTAACGCAGGGGGTCTGGCACGTGGACAGTGGGATATTCTCATGGGATAGTGGCAATTCTTGCCTAAAAGCGCCTGAGGCTATTTGTGTCATCAGTGGCCAGGGCAGTGTGGAGCTGCTCAGCTGCCCACTGCTCTCAGCAGTGCCCACCAGTCTGGCCCCCTGGATTTTTTAGCATCAGGCCAGCAGGAAGGGAGGACCCACCAATTCCACTCTTCAAGAACTTCCTGGGATAATTGAAAACCTCTGTGCACACAAAACCTTGTATGTGAGTGTTTATAGCAATGTTAGTTACGATAGTCCCCAAATGGAAATGACCCAAGTGTCCATCCGCTAATGAATGGATGAGCAGAATGTGGTATGTTTGTACAATGGAATATTACTGAGTCATAAAAAGGAGCAAAGTGCTGATCAATGGTATACATAGACGAACCTTACAATGTACGCTAAGAGAAAGAAGCCAGGCAGAAAAGCACAAATATTGTAGGATTCTATTTCTGTGAATTGTCTAGAATGGCATATCCATAGAGATGGAAGGGAGATGAGGAGGTGCCAGGGGCTGGGAGAAGAGGGAATGGGAGTGATTGCTATGGGCATGGGGTTTCTTTGTGGAGGGATGAAAATGTTCTGTAATTAGATCGTGATGGTTGCACAGCCCTGTGAATGTATTAAAAACTACCGAATTATAGACTTTGTAAGGGTGAATTTTATGGTATGTGAATTATGTCTCTGTTTTAAAAAGAAGGGAGGGAGGAGAAAGAAAGGACAGAAGGAAGGAAAAGAGGAAGCAAGTGAGGGGGGGGAGGGAAAGGAGGGAGGAAGGAAGCTGGTGGCAGCATGGGGGCCTGGCCGTGCGCTGCCCTCAACCCCTGGGATCTCCAAGTGCCTTTTGAACTGCTGCCCCTCAGGGAGGACACCGCTTCCCCTGGCCAATGAGCAGCCTCCCCATCCAATCTATAGGCCCCAGAAGCTCTAAAAATAACTGAAGTGGAAGGACGGTGTTTAATGACAAAGTAAATAATTACATTAAGGGTGCAAGTTTGGAGGAGAGCTGAGTAAATCACTGAGAAAGAGCGCCAGCCTCCGTCTCACTTCCAGTCCTTTATCACCAGATTACATCCTCCCTAGGACCCAGAATCATTGATCGTGGCTGGTGGCAGGCTCTGCAGTGGTGGGGGCTGTGATCAGGCAGGTGCTGAGAGAGATACCCTGTGAGCATTTCAGGGTGACGCTGCTGACCCTAACACTGGGCGGATGAGCCCCAGGGGCAGGGTCCCTGTGCTGCTGGAAATCAGCTGCTCTGCTGGGAGGAGCCAGGTCTCGGGGATGGCCTCACAGCCTTGCTGCCCACAGCTGGGGAGGACCAGGCTTCTGAGCCAGAGTGGCTTCAGAGGCCATTTGATCTAGTGAGGTACAGGGAGGGCAATGGTCTTGCCAGTGCTACGTGGTAAGCGTGTGGTAGATCTTGGTAGGGAGAGGTCTGGGAGCCCTGGTGTTCCCAGTCTGGGTATGCAAGACCCTCTTCTGTGTTAAGAGCAGCATCTGCAGCGGGCAAGACCCAGGCAGACTGTAGCCCTGGGAAGTGGCAGCGTTGGCCAGCTTTGGCATGGTGTGGGCTGGGGTTGTCTGGCACACGCACTCACCTCCCCTATCCTGGCCTGGAGCCCTCAGTTAGTCCCTTCCCTTCGCTGTCCCTCTTCCCTCTACCTAATGGCCTCATCCCTTCCTCAGGGAGGCCCAGCTGACAGCCTCTTTTCTCTCCCTGGCCCTGTGTTGCCCCTCAGGATGTGGAGGATGGGTAGGCTCCCAGGATTATTAGGTCTTCTGATAGGGGCGCTTGGAAGGGATGAGGATACAGGGAGATGGCAGTGCCTTGACCTGAAGGGACAAGTCTTTTTTCTTTCTTTTCTTTCCTCCCTCCCTCCCTCCCTCTCTTCCTTCCCTCCGTCCCTCTCTTCCTTCCCTTCCTCCCTCTCTTCCTTCCCTCCCTCCCTCTCTTTCTTCCCTCCCTCCCTCTCTTCCTTCCCTCCCTCCCTCTCTTCCTTCCTTCCTTCCTCACACTCTTTCTTTCTTTCCTCCTTCCTTCCTTCCTTCCTTCCTTCCTTCCTTCCTTCCTTCCTTCCTTCCTTCCTTCCTTCCTTCCTTCCTTTCTTTCTTTCTTTCTTTCTTTCTTTCTCTCTCTCTCTCTCTCTCTCTCTCTCTCTCTTTCTTTCTTTCTTTCTTTCGACAGAGTCTTGCTGTCGCCAGGCTGGAGTGCAGTGGTGCGATCTCAGCTCACTGCAACCTCCACCTCCTGGGTTCAAGCGATTCTCCTGCCTCAGCCTCCCGAGTAGCTGGAACTACTCGGGAGTAGAGACACACGCCATCACACCCAGCTAATTTTTTTATTTTAGTAGAGATGGTGTTTCACCATGTTGGCCAGGTTGGTCTCATCTCTTGACCTTGTGATCCGCCTGCCTCAGACTCCCAAAGTGCTGGGATTATAGGTGTGAGCCACTGCGCCTGGCCTGGGACAGGTCTTCTTGATGGAAACTGAGTCAGGATGCTTGGTGCAAGTAACAGAAGGCCACCCTGGCTCTCTGAAGCTACGTGGGGTTCTGGTCCTCCATCACTTGGAAGTTCAGGGTTAGATTTCCTTTCCGGACTAGCTAAGCTTGAGGCTCCAGTGACATCACAGGGATGTGACTCTTTATCTCTGTGATCTCAGTTGGCTTTCTGCTGACCTGGCATCCTGGTAGCTCTGATCACAAGAAGGTGGAGTTGCTGCAAGTGCATGTGGGCTTGATACCCATCAGCTCAGATGGAGAAGTGTCTCATTCCAGGTGATTCCAGCAAAAGTCCCGGTGGTAACTTATTGGCTGGGCCTGGATCCCATGCACCCTTGTGAACCAGCCACTGTGACCGAGGCATGTAGTATTTTGTGGGGTCCCATGCATACCTGTGCAAAGTGGGGTTAGGGTCAGCTCCCTTATCTGCTGGAGCTGTGCACAGAAGGGTGGCCCATGTGATACTGGTCAGGGCAAATACCAGTGCCCACCTCCCTGAAGCCAGATGGCAGGAGGAGTGGGTAGGAGATCCAGAGAGGTCTGGGCACCTGTAGACACCCACTGGTGGATGACAGGGTCAGAGCTGGGCCCTTCAGAAGCAGCAAGGAGTCCTCTGGTCATTCCATCCTCAGGCCTCATCCTCTGGGTTGAACCAGGGGTGACCAGGCCTGTCCCCCTCCTCTAGTTGTCTTTTTGAGCTTCCTGTAAGGGTACACAAAGTACTCCCTGAGAAGTGCCAGACCAGAGCCTTGGAGAGGAAATGCCAGAAAATTCCAGGGGTAGCATCACTAAGAAGGACTTTTTAAAGAATGAGAGAGCTACTGGGAAGGTAGGGGTACGCAGAGGCTCGACAGGGGTGACAGGGCACATGCCAGGGTAGGGCCAGCACCTGCTGAAGAGGAGGCTTTATACAAGGTGTAGGAGATGAGGTGCAGTTGGAAAGGGAGATTGGAATCGCTGTGGGCAGCCTGGGATGCCCTGAGAGGAATTTGGACTGAGGGTAGTAGGGAGCCATTGAAGGGCTTTGAGCAGGGGAGGGGCATTTTGAATCAGTGCATCTCCTTGCTGATTGATTCGAAGCATTCCATACCCACAAATGAAATCCTGCTGGATAGCTCTGCTTTTCAGAAGGTTCTTTTTCCTCCCTCCCTCCCCACTTCCCTCTCTCTTTCCTTCTCTTCCTTTTTTCCCCAAGTGTTTACTGGGGGCAGTGTAGTCCCCGGGTGGGACCACAGACAAGGTCCACTTCTCTGGAACTGACATTAAATTGGAAGACACAGGCAAGAACCCAAATCAATGGCCATGCAGAACAGGATGTAAGATGGGTATTCCAGCAGGAAGAGATGGGGGCTCGGTGGCCTCAGCCTTCCTCAAGACAGGAGTGCTTTTCCCAGGGTTGCCGAAGCCACTGTCTTTCTCAAATGTGCTGGTTAGGCACAATGGAAAACCACTTCCTCTGCTGTGGGAGGAGCAGAAACGCCTTCCGAAGCCAGCTGCAGGCTGAAGAGCGGGTTTAGGTCACCCCAGTGCAGCAGGGCAGGAGGCACACACACCTGTGTCGCGGCCCGGCCCCCACACTGTGTCAGGAGTTGGACGTTGCCAGGAGCCACTAGATGGGGCCTTGTGGAGGCAGACGCCGTGGGTCCTGCTGCACGTGGGGGCTGTGGCCGTTCTTCTGCATCCTTGTCTTTCACGGAGGAGTGATGAGGACCTCCCTCCTAGGGCTGTGGTCAGGGCTGAAGCTGAGACGCAGGCTGGATTACAATCCCCAGGGTCCTCCTCATAGGGGCTTTGGAAGGACTGACCACGCTGCCACATGGGGGACCTGAGGCCCTTGTTTTCATCACAGGGGTCATGAATCCGAGAGTGGCCTTCTGGGGGCATGTCTGGCCTCTCCCTACCCTTAAGCCCTGGGACGTCATGGGGGACCCCATAGTCTCTGTCTGGGGACACCACCCTTCCTAGTTGTTCAGGCTGCCAGGGAGCCCCTTTCTCCTGTTGCCATCCTTGGCATGTGGGACCTGGCCTCTCTTTTCCTGGAGCTTTTTCTCCTGGGTTGTGTTTTTCAGGTCTCTGATCCTCCCGGGCTGGCCCAGGTGAGCGACTCCCCTCCCCACCACCCTGATCCTGCCAGGCAGTGAGCCCTGCCCTCCCTCTTGGATGCTTCACAGCAGTGAGGATGAGAGTCCTCTGTTCTTTCTGTATGTCACCACTGAGGAAGGTGGGGATACCTGGCCGTGTTGTGGAGCCTTTCCTGGGTAGGGAAAGAGTGCTCGATTGGGATGGGAGACGGGTCCTCTGTTCTGTGGGCCTGTGACCCCATCCCCGACACTGCGAGGTCCCCAGGCAATGCCTGTGAAAAGGTCCTGAAGAATTTTCAGCATGCCACACACAGGATATGAGGTGTTGGCGCTCTTGACCAGCGCCTGAGCACCACTAACACTGACAGTGTTTTGGCTTGGCCAGGATGGCCAAACATGTTTTTCTGTGCATTTGTCCCCAGGGAGGAATTGGAGGCTTCTGAAGACTTAAAAAACACACCAAAACAAAATAACCAGAGAAAATGTTTCCCTGTGCTGTGGTTCTGAGAACTTCATTGCTTTGGGGAAGAGAGGCGGGCAAGAACCACCTCTGAAAGCTTTTCCCAGAGGAGGTGGGTTACTGTGGACATGCAGTCCACGTGATGGCTGCCACGTGCCCTTGAGCATCCTCATCCCAGAATGGCCCAGTTGCACACAGAGCCTGATCCCCTCAGCTATGTTGAGTCTTGGGAGAGGGAGAGCCAAGCCCCAGACATAGACTGAAACTCTGAGTTCTGCTTGTGCAAGGACTTTGCAGCTGCGGGAGTGCCCGGGTGATGGATGCCATCGCACTTGTCAGCCAGGCTGTTCTCCTGATGATGTCCTTGTCCATGCAGCTGCAGCTGGCCCTAGATCCCCAGGTACCCCCTCCCCACCCTGGCCCTGCACTGCTGGTTTCTCCACCCTCTCTTTGTTGTTGTTGCTGTTGAGACAGTCTCACACTGTCGCCCAGGCTGGAGTGCAGTGGTGCAATCTTGGCTCACTGCAACATCTGCCTCCTGGGTTCAAGCAATTCTCCTGCCTCAGCCTCCTAACTAGCTGGGATTACAGATGCGTGCCACCATGCCCAGCTAATTTTTGTATTTTTAATAGAGACAGGGTTTCACCATGTTGCCAGGATGGTCTCGATCTCTTGACCTCCTGATCCTTCTGCCTCCGCCTCCCAGAGGCTGGAATTACAGGTGTGAGCCACCGTGCCTGGCCTTTTGCTGCCTCTTGCCATTCTTGCATGCAGTCTTGTCCCCAAGACAAGTGGGGAGGATGGTGCCAGCCTAGTGGGCTGCATTGTCCTGAGAAGGTCATGTTCAGCTTCCCCACCATCCAAGAGAAGTCTGTGCCCCTGATTTGAGGGGAAGACGCATTTCCTAGTGTTACTTTCACACATGGTGTCTTAGTTATCATTCTTAGAAGCAGGCTTTTAAGAGAAGGGTTCCAGTGCACCTGGTTTATTTGGAGTTGTAGGGAAACGAGTGGTGAGGTGAGATGGGAGGAGAGCACCTGTGAAGGGAAGTAGAAAGTCAGCTGCCCCTGAAAAAACTGGAGCTTCATCCCTGGGGGGACTCAGGAGCTGGCATGATAGCCATCCCAGAGGAATAAAGAAGCTCTAAACACCAGTTGCTGGCAGTGCCCCCCGCTGAGGGCTGCTCTTGCACTCCAGGCCTGTTGCACACAGCTGGGCAAAGTGGGCTTGGGAGACAGAAGACCCTCAGTTAACCACGGTGCCAGTAGTTGGAAAGGATGTGTGCCTCAAAGGGGTACAGGGATTAGAGTAGGGATTGATAGCATCTGCTGTACAGAGATGGAGGTGGTGAGTGCCGATCGCTGTGATTTCTGGGGCCTTAGGAAGCCTTTTCTGTGTCTTTCTGTATGATTTTGTCATTAAAAATGAATGCTGATGGCTGAAAGGTATGTGAATGTTATACAACGGATACTTCTGGGCAGACCACCCGGCTGTTGTCAGATATCAGTGTCTCACTAGGAATGAGTTGATCAGATTTCATGTTGAGAGCAGTGTTGGATGGGGTAGAGAGAAGGTCCTCCACCCCCGGGCTGCAGACCGGTACCAGTCCATGCCCTGTTTTCAACCAGTCCACACAGCGGGCGGTGAGCAGCATGCAAGAGCATGACCACCTGAGCTCCACCTCCTGTCAGATTGGCAGCCGAATTAGAGTCTCATAAGAGCAGGAGCCGTATTGCGAACTGCACATGTGAGGGATCTAGATTGTGTGCTCCTTATGAGAATCTCATGCCGGATGACCTGAGGTGGAACAGTTTGGGGATTCCTGCCTCCTGCACTGGAAAAAGTGTCTTCCATGGAACTGGTTCCTGGTGCCAAAAAGCTTTGGGACCATTGGTGTAGAGGGCAGGGGAGAGGCTGCCTCTTAGAGAATGAGGTCAGAAACGGGCGTGATGGTCCTGAAGTTCCCCTATGTGTATCCTCTAAGACAAGGGCCAGTGTCCTGCCCTGTCCTGTTGGTGCCAGCGTCAGGGGGTCTTGAGACAGGGAGCGGGCGATGGTTCTCCCAGCTAGGACTTTCAGAATGGAGACCTCAGACCCTGAGCCCTAGGGACAAGCCTGATCTATAACCAGTCACTGAAAATATATACAGTGAAATGGAAGTCTCTGCCATTGAGCCGGCTCTCGCAGGCCGCTGTAAAGATAAGTAACGGCAGTTTTCAGGCCACTTAAACCCTTACCTTTGGGGTATAAAGGGGTCTCTGCAGACAGTAAGTCTTTATCGGGAAATGTTTACTCATAAAAAAGCACGATGAAGCCTAGAAGAGAAAGCACCTCACCCTTTATGGCACTGCAACCCGTCTGTAACAGAAGCTGCAAATCATCCGCAGGCTGCAGGCCGCAGACTGACTGTCCAAAAGTTGGGGATGGGAGTGAGAGTAAAACCTGACTTGCTACCATGCAGACAGCATTGCCTGCCCCACCAGCCCCATCCCTCCACTGAAAGAGGGACCGTGTTGGCCCGTGTATTGCTAAGCCAACATGCTGTGGCTCCCACATGCCACAGGATTGAGCCTGAGCTCTGTAGGCACATGTGCCCTGGCCCACCTCTTTGGCCCTTGTGCCTGTGCACCTCCCACAGTGCTCCCCACTTCCGCAGCACCTTCCCCTGCTTTTCTGCCTTTGAGAGGGCTACCTAAATGTCCACCCCATTCCAGCTACAGTCCCATCAGTGGAGTAGAATCACCCTGAAAGACTTGGAACCAGGGTGGTGATTGCATCAGCTGCCGCCCAGCTGTGGGAGCAGTGGTATCTCTGCAAAGCCACCATCTCTGCATCTGGTGCTGGGCTGAAGTTGCTGTAGGCCAGTGGCATTGGCAATCCGAGGGGGTGTTAGGTGTGACATGGGGGAGAGCAAGGGCAAGCTGGAACCCACCAGGTTAGAGCTCACGCCTGCCTGCCTGTGCTTCCAGCTTCATGATGGATAGGTGGATGCACGTGGGTTTGAAGGGGGATTGCATGAGCCTCCTCCTTGGAGCTATATCCCCTCCTGGCTCTGTGGGAGCAGAAGAAGCTGGCTCTACCCCTTTTTTACCCCACAGGTCAGCGATGATGTTTGGGGACTGAGGGAGCCTTTGGGATCCTACACTTGCAGTTCCAACCTTTTTGGTCCGTGGGTCCCTCTATAGTTAAAAATTACTGAGGACCCCAAAGAGAGTTTTTTTTTTTTTTTGAGACTGAGTCTCACTGTGTCTCCCAGGCTGAAGTGCAGTGGTGTGATAGCCCACGGCAACCTCTGCCTCCTGGGTTCAAGCGATTCTCCTGCCTCAGCCTCCCGAGTAGCTGGGATAATAGGCCTGCCATCATGTCTGGCGAATTTTTGTATTTTTGTAGAGATGGGTTTCGCCATGTTGGCCAGGCTGGTCTCAAATTCCTGACCTCAAGTGAGCCGCCCGTCTAGGCCTCCCAAAATGCTGGGATTACAAGCATAAGCCACCATGCCTGGCCCCAAAGAGCTCATTTAATGTGTGTCATATCTATTGATACTTTATTTGAAACTTAAAATGAGAACAATTTGAAATATTTTGTCTTTAAATTCATTTGAAAATAACAATGATAAAATTATAATTTTTATGAAAAGAACTTCTCCAAAATTAAAGTAGTAAGAACAGAATTACGCTTTTGTCAATGTCCTTAATGGAAGACAGCTAGATTCTCATGTCTCCTGCATTGAGTCTGTTGCCCTACGTTGTTTTGGGTTAAAATATATAAAGAAAATCCAGCCTAACACAGACATAGAGATAGAAGAGAGAATGGTATTTTAAAAGCCTTTTCACCTAATTTGGTTGTTCTTTGATGCTGCACCAAAACTCGACGTCGTGGAATCTGAAACAGATCAAAGGCCTTTCCATACCGTTGGTTAAAATCCATGGATCTGTCTTGCACTTTGAATGGATGCTTTTTTCCCATGCATTATTTTGTGTGTCCGTGGGTCAGTCCTTCAGAATGAGAAACTCAGAGTTGTGCAGATCTTCCAAAGCTATAGTGGAAAACACGTTAGACAAATGAGGTTTTAGGATTATGTTGAAAATGTGACTTTGCCCATCTCTTGAGAGAACCGCTGCTCCACACTGTCCTTCCTTCTAATCCCACGTGGATTTCTGCTATGGCCAGAGCCCTCACCCGGAACCACGTAGGGAGGTAGATAGCATCAGCTTGGCTAAGTTGCCTGGGTATGAAGCCACCCCCACCACCTCCATGGGGTCTCTCCCCCTGCTTCCCAGCCCCACAGGCTGGCTGTGCTTGTGTCCTGAAGGAGCTGGCTGTTCTCACTGCCCACCTGTCACCCCCCCATCACACGTCCATCAGGACAGGCCTTCTCACTTCACCCCACTGGCCCCGCTGATGGGCTCGCCATGGACCATCGGGGGTCTTCCTGCCTCCTCCTTTTATAGATAGTCTCACCACTGCTCCGCCCCGGCCCTTTCCTTCCCTGGCTTCTAAGCTCCCCTTGTGATCTCCTGCCTGCTTCTTCTCCTTCAAACGAAGGTCCCAGGCTTTGTCCTGCATGTTCTTCTCTTCTTACTGGAAACTCATTGCAGGGTCACCTGGGTGGGGAGACCCCCTCAGCTGTGTCTGCCCCGGACCCCTATGTCCACCTTGTTGGCTCCATCCTGCTCATCCAGTGGCCTGCCTGGTGCTGGATGTCCCAGGCTGCATGCATGGTGCCCCTCCCCATCCACCCACATCACCTGGCCCCACTCCAGGCTCTTTTTGGGAACAACATCCTCACCCACTTGCTTATATGGAGCAAACTTAAGAGACCCAGCCAGGTTGAGAACCAGGTGGCAAGGCTGAGGGGATGGATCCCCAGGGGACCTTCTGAGGACAGTTTCCTATGGCCTCCATGTCCCGCAGTTACACATGAGACATGAGGCCCAGAGGAGTCCCCTGGCTTGCCCTGGGCCTCACATGGGATTTGATGGGATCCTGTTTCAAAAGCCTGTGCTCCCCTCTTTCCTCTGCCTTTCCAGGCACCCTGCTCTTGGTTCAAGGGCCCTGTGGCCCCGTGCCTGCATCTGGCTGAGGTCACAGCTGCCTGAACTCTGGGGCCTTGCAGAGAAGTTGTGGGAGGAGCTGGAGAGCTCCAAGGAGCCCCACGTTCATCCCTGAGGGCTGGCAGTGCCTTTTCCAAGCCTGCGGGGCGGGGGTGTGGAGAGTGAAGTCTGACACCAGGACAGCCAGTGGGTACATTTAGGACCCTTGTTTGCCATCCAAGAAGAAAGTAGCCTCTGCCTCTCTAATCAGCCCCTGGGAAGGACTGTGGATGTGCCAGTGGCCTAAGATGGAGATAAATGGTGTGCACTGACCCTTTCAACTGGCGAGGCCTAGTCTGGGTGCGTTTAGTCCAGACAAACCCAAGAACCAGGAGGACTGAACCAGGCAAGGCCCATTGGCTAAGTCCTTACCCAGCAAGGGCTGGGTACTGCAGGGAGGAAGGGAGGGTGGGTCTCTCCCTGTGTCCCTCCTCTCTCTCCCCACCCCCACTCCCAACACTCCTGAGCCTTGAGAATGTTTCCAGTGAGTCTGGGCCCCGGGCCGGTCTCTTCAGGGACTCTTCAGTCCCCCAGTGTCTCCCTCCAGGCCCTCTGCCCTGCCAAATCCCAAGCCTCCTTCAAGGCCAAATTCAGTAGTCAATTCTGTTTCATTCAAAAAACATTTAGATGTTTATGAAAGGCCTGCTGGTTAGCATGTTGCCAGGGCCACCCAGCTGGTAAGTGGTTTGAGCCAGGATTTGAACTCGAGTCCTTCTGACCCTCCCCCACCTTATGTTGATAACCTGCTTATCTGAAGTAGCCACAGCGCCCTGTCCTCTTTTACTGGTACTCACTTCTAGTTTATGTGCTGGGAACCATGCATTTTGTTAGAGTAGTTTCTAAACTAAGAATCCAGAAGCGCTGAATGAGGGCCTGAGGGGCTCATACACTACTTAGTGCAAGGCCTCAGAGGTGTAGGTTTGGGGGCTCAGGGGTTCCTGGCAGCAGCTGGTAGAGTGGCCTTTGAGGGGTGACTGACCTCCAGATGGGTGAGGTTTGTGCTGCACTTTTAAAGTACTGACAGTAGATATTCAGAGTGACAGAGTGCCACTAATAGAGATGAGTTTTGTATTTTCTTTTCTTTTTTTCCTTTTTTTTTTTTTGAGCTGGAGTCTCGCTCTGTTGTCTAGGCTGGAGTACAGTGGTGTGATCTCAGCCCACTGCGACCTCCACCTCCCAGGTTCAAGCATCAAGCAATTCTCCTGCCTCAGCCTTCTGACTGGCTGGGATTTACAGGCACATGCCGTCATGCCTGGCTATTCTGTTTTTATTTTTAGTAGAGACGGGGTTTCACCATGTTGGCAGGCTGGCCTCGAACTCCTGATCTCAGGTGATCTGCCTCCCTCAGCCTCCCAAAGTGCTGGGATTACAGGTGTGAGCCGCCTCGCCCCGCTGATTTTTGTATTTTCTATCCACCCTCCTCTTTTGTCTTCCTTTGCCATTCTTCCTTTAGCAGTTGAAACCCAGTGGCAGGCACAGAGAATTCTACAGCCTGAGCTTTGTTCTCAAGAATAGGAAATCTGAAGGACTTGGCCACAGGCAGTGGATTCATCTACTTGCAGGCATTCACCAGTTACGGTGCCAGTCCCTTGTGCTGGGACAAATACCCTACTGGCTCAGCCCACAGGGAGCTCACCAGCTAAGAAGGATTGATTAGTGCAGGGACAGGTCTTAGTGTAGCAACGACTCCAGGAGAAGTCATTTCCAGGTACTTCGTCCTGCCTCTGGGGGAAGAGAGGCAGGGAAGACTTCTTGGAGGAGGCAAGACCCAGCATGAGCTGGGTCTTGAGGGATAAATAGGGGTTCACTAGGCAGAAAAGTGGGACCTAGAGAGCAGAATATGAGCTGGAGTCTCGCTCTGTGGTCCAGGCTGGAGTCTCGCTAGGCAGCAGGATGGTCAGCAGCCAAGGCCTTGGGAACCTGGGGATGGTTGGCCGTTTTGCTGGAAACCTCCAGCAGCTTCTACTGAGGCGTTCACCCCTAGAAAGACTGAGGTTGATGAAGGCAAGTGAAGGAAAGGTCCAGGCTGGTCCCTTTTGCCCCCTGTCTGGTTTTCTCTTAGCTAAGACATTCTCTCTGGCTCCCTTAAAATCAGGACAGAGGAGCGAAGGTGGGTTTGGGGGCCGATTTCTCCTCTCAGCCATCCCAGGCTGGACTTTCTTGCTGACTTTAAACTCTCAGCTGTCACCCTCATATTTGCTCAGGGGCCCCTGTTAGGGAGACTGTGCACTTTCATCTGGTTGGACGCCAGAGTTCCCTGGAAGCTGAGAGGGTTAAATCACCAAGCCAGCTGGTGAGCATTAGTTCCCCCCTCTCTAGGCACTAACGTCAGCGGCTGATGCTGGCAGCAAAGAAGCTGGTGTCAGGAGAAGGCAGAGAGCTGCCTTGAGGCACTCCGGGGGTGGGCTCCTGGCCTGGGACCCCGCCCCAGCAACCCCCAGGTAGGCTGGCTATGGCTGTGTGGGCTCCGGACACCCTGCGGGAACAGCCCTGGCCACGCTGTTGTGTGGGTGTGTGTGCACACTCTGTGTGTTTGTGTGTTTCTTCTCTTTGTGAGAATTATCCTTCTGCTGTGGTAGAAACTTCAGTGGAGAGGGAAAGAGTGCTGGAGAGGGTAGCTTCTTTTCCTAGTGGGAAGGGGACTGGCTTGAAACAAACACTTCAGTGTTCCAGCGGCCACGGAGCAGGCAGACACGGCCCACCCTGCAGCTTTCAGGGGTGCTCTGTGCCACTCAGGGTGCAGTCTTGAGGTGGCTTAAGAACATGTTTTCTCATCTGTCTGTGACCCAGAGGCGTTTCCAAGGGCTTGCCATGTGCCGACTCAGTAACTAGTGTGTGGCCTCCCCGTGGTTTCAGATGCCTTGCCAAGGCCGACTGCCTCCCTCCTCGAGGATATGCAGAAAGTGTTTTCAGGGCCCAGAACACTAAGCCGGGGATGATCTGCTCCTCCCTGACCAGCAGCCTGTCTTGGCGTGGGCGGCCGAGCCCGCAGCCACCAGGACCTGATGTGGACAGTGTTTCCTGGGGCCTCTGTGCGGGGGAGGTTGTCTCGGGTTGCAAAGGTGCAGATGTGCTCAGGGAGGAGGGGCCTGGGCTTCATGGATAGAGTTTACTAGGACAAGCAAAGGCCTCGTGTGTGATCCCTTTTCCTATTTGACTGGATGTTGGGAGATAAATGTCCAAATTAGGAATGGGCCCGTGGCTCAGCTGAGCAGAACATTGGGTGAACTTCTACTGTGAGAGAAATAGCAGATCCCACAGACATTTATGGGAGACAGGTAAGGGAAACTCAGCGCTGGGGAGGGAGTTTGGTCTCATTCAGGCTGAGGCTGTCACACCCTCAGACGGGCTTGTAAACCAGCTCCTGGCCTAGCATCATCAGATGCAAGGATGACGAAGAGGGAGTGTGGCGGGCCCTGTGGAGGGAACCTGCACTCTCAGTGGGACACCTGGTGCCTAGTAGGTCTGGCCCACAGCCTGTCCTCATCCTCTTGTCTAATAAACAAAGGGGAAGGAGGTGCCTATGCATGGGAGGCTGACTTGGGGACTACTATGTTGACTCAGAAAGACCCTTTTTTCCCTTTTGCTCTTTACGAGGTTGCCTAAGCCTGTTTCATGACCCTCAGAGGCAGGTGCAACCCCATTTTACAGATGGGGATGCTGAGGCTCTTCACCAGGGCTGCCCAGTTGGATGGCAGTGGGGTGGGTCATACCGAGCCTCCTTTCTCCTGGGCTGGGCTGCCACCTGAGGTCCCCAGTGTGTATTCCTGTTTGCCTTTGACTCCACGGGTCCCGGGAGAGAGTAGCATTGGGGAAGCCACCCGGCTGCTTGTGAACTGGCCTTTGCTGTGTCCCACACCTCTGACATGGAGATGAGGTGGCAGTGGCTAAGACCGGGCAGTGGGCCAAGTTCATGTTCCTGCTCTGCCAGTGACAGCTGGACGAGACCTAGAGCATGGCCCTGAGCTCTTGTGGCTTTGGAGTTCCTGCCCATATAGCATCCTTTCAGGTGCAAACATTATCACAGGGGTTGAGTGAGCTGTTATCAGTGAAGCACTGAACAGTGCCTGGCAGGTGACAAAATCACGAAGTGTCTCTGTAGTTAGAGCAGCCTTCTCGTGGTCCCTGGACCGAGCAGTGTGCTACAGGCATAGTGCCCTGCATAGCAGGTGCCGCTCAAGAGACAGGGACAAAATGACCTTTTCAGAAACCTGTTAGGAAACAGCCTTGTTGGCCCTGAGGCCCAGAGCCTTTGTATCTGGCAAATCCTGACCTCACAGGCTCCTTGCATGAACTTGACACAATTAATACCAAGAGAGATGGTGCTGCCCCCATTCCACCTCTGTACGTGGCTAAAGGTCACAAGGACAGCAAATGGAAATGCCTCTGCCAATCACCTGTTTGCTCTTTTTCTGATTATTAAAGTGATTGAAAATGTGATGACTATGGGAAATCCCCATGAACTATCATTATGTTCTTCCCTGATTGCACCTCCCAAGGATGACCGTCACTCACATGTTAGTATGTTTCTCTCCAGTTCTTTCCTCCTATGCAATACTTCCCTTCCAAAGGAAGTTTCAATTAAGAACGTTAAAATACAGCAACAACAAAACTCAAAGAATAACTCCCTGGGCTTTTAAAATGGAAAGCTTTAGAGGAAATGGTAGTAATGCAACAAAAATAGCAAATTTCCCATACGATTTTGTTTACAGTACACCCGTCTTCTGCCTCTTACCCTAGTTCTTCCTCAGGCAACCTGGATTTTCCTTCTCTAAGGGGCGTCTCCCAGGGGTGGTCTAGGACTGGGAGGCTAAGGGGGCATTGGAGGAGACACCTCCATAGGTGTGCACAGAATCTGTGGTGAGAGGCGTATGAGGTGCATCCCAACGGGGAGCCTGCTCCTGCCCCCACGCCCCCGCCACCCAGCTGAGTGTTTCCCAGGCCAGGCTGTGTTTGACATGCAGCGGCTGCACACCGTCTTTGGTATGCCGTTTGGTCCCTGGACTTAATGAGTTCTGCAGGGACGCTCCACTGTAGCTAAAGATCATTTACCTGAATTGCTTTTTAATTTCTGCCGTGGGAAGCTGCCCCTGGCGCGATGTAATTACGTTATAATTTACAGCAATCCCAAATCTATAAATTTAGCCATACTGATGGGGGGAAGGGACTGGAGCTGTATGTGGGGCTGGGGGAGAGTCCCCCACATCATTAAGTTAACCCATCATTTCTGGGTGCAGGTCCCAGTCCCTGGGCAGGCGTGGAGGAGGCAGAGAGGGACATCTCTTGCACAGTACACACTAAGTACACCATGGAGCATTCAGGCTGGAGCTGCTGGTGGGAGAGGATGAGTGGGTAATGTGACATTCTTTCTGATCTTTTTGTAGCAGTTTTGCTGTAGGACGTGGGAGCACACGGAAGTGTGTAGCCTGGGGACGTCTATGGAGTACCTAGCATTGGAAGGCAGGGGTGAGAATGCTTCCCTGATTCTCCTATGGGAAGACCTCCTGGCTCTAGGCTGTGGAGAGGAGAGTTGGGCCTCAGGGTGGAGTCCTGGGGGTGTCTCTCGGCAGATGGACATTTCCTGGGAGCTTGTGGCATGTGTGGAAGTGAGGCCCCGTGGGATTCCGATAGTCCTGGGTGAAGGGGCAGTGCTGTGCAGGCCAAGAGAGGGGCTTCCCTTCTGTACCCACAGAAGGGTTCACATTCCTGGTGGCCCTGCTATTCCATGTCACTGTGTAATTTGCCCTATTCCTGTAAACCCATGCATGGACCAAAATTATTCATATTTATGAGCATAAAGGCAGTTTATTAATTAATGGAATTCTACGGTAAATTTAACTTCGACAAAGAAAAAAGCAGGCTTTTCTGATTTGTCTGTTCCGGAGATCTAAATGGCCATATCTTGGGTGGATTCCATTGGGATGACTTTGTAGCAGCGGGAGGCAGCATAGCAGCTAAAATACCAGTGGATCCAGGTTGGGAGAAGCTAAGTCACTTACCCCACATCACATAGCTGGTGATGGAGATGGAGACCCTGGGAAGGCTGAGTGGAGGGCCGTCCAATGGGGAAGGTGACTAGGGCAACAGGGAGGGGGGAGAGGGAGGCAGCAAAACAATTACTCACTGTGTTGACCTTGACTGTTACCAGTTTGCCCCTTGGCCAGAGGGACTGTGTGGGGTGGTGCCCTGGCAGCATGCTTCCCCCTTACAGGGGGTATGGAACTCCCAGCCTGATGCAGGTGGTTGTCCTTCTCCACCCTGGGAAGCTGGTGGTCCTCAGGCCCACTCTCTGGCTCAGAGATGGCAGAACTGCTGCTCCAGAATGTCCCTCTGGGCACTTGTCATTAGCCACTGCCCCTCGCTCCATCTCTGGCTGTAAACCCCTTTAGGCCTCCTTCGGGTCTACACCAGCACCTGTCAGGCTGACTCTGAGGAGGCTCAGAGAGGGTAAGTCACGTACCCCAATGACATAGCTGGTCTTTGAGAATGTAAGCCTGTCCAGGGGCCTTTGAGATAAGGTGTTCCCACAGTCTGATGTTCCAGCCACATGGCACATCAGGACCTGAACTCCCTCGTCAGTGATGCACCTGACAAAGGATGCCCCATGGCCTCTTTGTTGTTGTTGTTTTGTCTTGAGACAGGGTATCGCTGTGTTGCTCAGGCTGGAGTGCAGTGACACAATCATGGCCCACTATAGCCTCGACTGCCCTGGCTCAAGCTCACATCCTCCCACCTCACCCTCACAAGTAGCTGAGACTACAGGTGCCTGCCATCACACCCGGCTTATTTTTGTATTTTTTATAGAGACAGGCTTTCACCATGTTGCTCTGGCTGGTCTCGAACTCCTGACCTCAAGCAGTCTGCCCACCTCAGCCTCCGAAAAGTGCTGGGATTACAGGTGTGAGTCACTGTGCCTGACCCCCATGATGTTTCTTGTAGCCATTGGCACTGCCATGATTTGGGAGTTTTGGGAGACTTGAAGCAGGTATTTAGAGTCTGAAAGAATGTATTTCCTCTTTAAGGAGCCATTTATCACTCAGATTTTACAAATACAGGATGAAGCCCAAGCAAGGCCTGGCCCTGTCCACCTGTGCAGCCACTCACTGCCCCACAGTAAAACAACCTCACCTGACTGTGAGTGTGTACCTGACTGTGAGTGTGTGCTGGACTGTGTGTGCCTGGCTGCATGTGCTGGACTATAAGTGTGCACCTGGGTGTGAGTGTGACCTGGTTGTGAGTGTTCACCTGGCTGTGTGTGCTGGACTGTGGGTGTGCACCTGGCTGTGAGTGTGACCTGGCTGTGTGTGCTGGACTGTGGGTATGCACCTGGCTGTGTGACCTGGCTGTGTGTGCTGGACTGTGGGTATGCACCTGGCTGTGAGTGTGACCTGGCTGTGTGTGCTGGACTGTGGGTATGCACCTGGCTGTGAGTGTGACCTGG